ACAGAAATCCCATGATGTGGTGGGGGCCGATAGGTGCTACCACCATACAAGAGCCTCTGTTTTAGGCACTATACAGACACACACACAGAAACAGATAAATTCTTTAAAGCAGGAGCTACAATCTCAGTAGAGAAAACAAACTTAGGATGGGAGAAAGGAAAGCTTATCCCTGTTTTACAGATGGGGAATTGAAGCACAAAGAGATTAAGGGGTTTGCCCAAGGAGCCACAGAAGGCTGAGGCAGAGCCAAGAACAGTACTAAGATCTTGAAAACAAACAAACAAAAGTTTTGGACACATCTCTATGAATAAAGGTATTGTATCAGAATATCCCATCCAATTGCTTTCTGAGTCTTCCTTACACAATCATCTTGCTTTTAGCTCTTCTGACTGCACTATTTTAACATTTTGTTTCAAAATTCATCCTGTTTCAGTGTAAACTGAATTGTCTACAACGCATTTGCTCCATGTGTTAATGTGCACAAAAGGATTTGCTCCATGTGTTAATAGCTCACATTTTAGTGCATGATTTCACATCTTTTGATATGGCACTCCTCCACAGGGAATAAATCCCAGAGCACAATCAAACCTATTGTTTCTAATAGTTTTGTTTTACTCTGTAGAGGGAACAATACACCTACATCACATCTGATAAAATAAATCTACACTGACATCTTGTGGTAAGAGGATTGAGAGAGGATTATGAGATTTAAGAGCCCTCTAGCCACATACAACTGCATATCGTATGTCGTCTCTCATTATGTACCTGCTCGCAAAAATCAAACACTTACCAGCTGGTGGAAGGCAAGGAAGAAAATACTCTAGGGACCAGGTTTTCAGGGCCCACAATTCCAGTTGAAGTCAATGGGAACTGCAGCACCTATGAAAATCGGGCCTTTAAATCTCACACTGAACACCATTTGTGCCTCAAAGCGGTCAGGGAAAAAGATGTTCGATATTATAATCAAACTATATAAATCTTTACTTACTTCTAATGATAATTCCAAAGTAGAATGTCATAATCTCACATTTGCAAATTTCATGATACTTTAAAGCTTCTAATCAAAGAACAAGCATTAAAAGAGCTATTTTCATATTGGGGCTTTATCATCCCTGCAATCAGAGAAGCAAAGGAGATTGCAATAGCACTCCAAATCACCATTAATTTATCTTCATCTAAAATTGTAGGTTTAAAACAAAAGTTTCCAGTTTGAGAAAGCATTCAACAATTTTCCCCTCATCATTTTCCCAATAATTTCAGCTCTTCCTATTGTTCAGAAAAAGTACAACAGGCCACCATCTCTTTCAGTGCTTATTTAGAAGCCTGTTGGAAATACAGCATGAAGGCACTGCCAACATCAGACCACCCTTGCAGCTAGCTACATGGGTGCAAGGCCCTGGAATAGACACAATCCACTCTAGTGCAGCAGGGTATTTTATACCATATTCAAAGTAGTATACAAAGCATAGCTTAGTTACTCAGATAACTTGTGCCTACATGGGGGGGGGAGAGGGTTGTAATGGTGCCTGAAATCCCAATGTAGGCAAGGCTTAAGACCAAACACAATTGCTCCTTCAGTTCTCTACTAATGTCGACCAGGAGATTATTGTCTGGTTTCTCACACAATAGAATAAATCACTATTTGTTCAAGTTTGGTTTCAAGTAAACCATCAGTTTTGTAACTGGAGGTCAAATAGGCTTTCGAAACAGGACAACTTCCTACCATCAGCTCTAAGAAATTAAGTGCACTGCACTGGCAAGATTCACGCACTTAGTATTTACATAATGCTCCTGTATCTACAAATTGATACAATAAATAGTTAATCAATTCCTGGGACTAACAACATTTGATGTAATCCTTCCATTATAACTAGGGATCATTCCTGAGAAATCTTCCACTTGCCATGTCTGACATACCATAGCAGGCATATGGTCAGATTCAAAAGGTGATATAAATGGTCACACAGCCCTGGAAGCAAGTACAATTTACACATTATTGGGTGTGTGTGGAGAAAGCAACAAATGGGAGGATGGGAGGAGTTGTAAGATGAAGTAGAGGGATTCATGTGAGATCTCAAGATTTACGATTCTTCTTGCAGATCACAAAGTTTTGGCTTTCCTGTTTACATCTGGAAATGTGAAAAATTCATGCAGAAAGTCAAAACTATGCATAGAAGTGTAATAATTCAAATGATTGATTACAAGTAATGCCTAATCAAATAACTATGCATAGAAGTGTAATAATTCAAATGATAGATTACAAGTACAGTAATGCCTAATCAAACAGCGTGCACAGTGCTGTTATTCTTTGGAGTGATGTGCTGGAGTAATGTGCTGGAGTAAAGAAGAGTGCTTCTGTAGGCAAACTATCAGCTGTTCTGTGCTTATCTGGTATAGGCCTGAAGAGAACCAGAAGAGTTTCACAAAATGCCATTGATGAACAGAGCTTTTCGCATTTTACAAGATTCCTCAATATCTCCCAGGTAAGCATTAATGGAGCCCATTAGTGATTGACTTGGAAACATATAACCCTGCTCTGTGGTTTATGCCATTATCCCTCCATGTGCTGCTTTGCAGTGGTCATCCCCACTAGTTTTAAAATATGTCCCCCTCCATTGCATACCCCATCTTTGGCAGCCCAGAAGGCAAAAATCTCCACCTGGAATTTTCAGACAAATAATCCACGATGTTCTCCCAGCTGCATTACTAATGTTTTTTGTAAATGACAAGTGTAGTCCACAAAAAATAGACTAGGCAGATGCACCAGTGCCACATTCTTCAGGCTTCTTATGGTAGCATTAGAGAGGACTAAAGGGTAGAAAATTAGTCATCCATTAACAAAACCAATTTCAGGCATTAAAAAAGAAAACCTGAGACTACAGTAAATCATTAATGTTTTTCTACTTTCGACATAGAGCCTACAGACATGTGAAGTCTATTCAAAATTAGATCTGTATACCACTTAATCATTGGAAAAAACCCTCATGATCATGTCACACCCACAAACTAAATACGTGGTTTAAAGATTATTGCTGTGATGAGATCAATAAAATCAATATCAAAAGGGTGGTTTCATTCCAACTACAATGACTAGCATTTCCAACTCTATTTCAGGTTGCAACAGAAAGGGAGAGTTTTTGTGTGTGAAAGTTAAGTATTTGGGTGCACTGATGTTGAACGCTTCAGTGTGTAGGATGGGTAGCTCCACATACAGCTATTGATATTCCTTCAGCTGCATCATAACTGGTACTATGCTGATTTGCTCTGAACAGCCCTAATCAGGCTTAGATACATACATACCTAGACCAATATTTTCTAACACAGTTGCCTAGTGTGAGCCTCCAAACACATTTTTAAACTTAAAGGAAGACTTGTTTAGTTTGGAAAGGAGAAGACTGACAGAGGACATGCTAGCAGTTTTCAGGTATCTAAAAGGGTGTCACAAAGAGGAGGGAGAAAAATTGTTCTCCTTGGCTTCTGAGGATAGGACAAGAAGCAATGGGCTTAAACTGCGGCAAGGAAGGTTTACGTTGGACAGTAGGAAAACTTCCTAACTGTCAAGGTGGTTAAATACTGGGATAAGTTGCCTAGGGAGGTTGTAGAATCTCCATCACTGAAGATATTTAAGAAGGGGCTAGCTAGATATCTACCAGGAATGGTCTAGATGGAACTGGGTCCTGCCGTGAGGGCAGGGTACTGGACTTGATGACCTCTCGAGGCCCCTTCCAGTTCTAGTGTTCTATGATTCTTAAAACAGAAGTAACTTGATTTTCAAAGGTGCTGATCACCTGCAGATCCCACTAAGAGCTCATCAGAGTGCTGAGCTCCTGTTATATCTTTTCTAAGTTCCCACAGCCTAACACCTGTTGAATCAGTACTTTCATACACAATTAAACCATCCTGCCCCACAGAATTAAAACTATGAAGATTTCCTATATTCCATATCAAAATTCAGGTTGCAATAGATGAAAACAGAAAAAAATATTTCTAGTGAAATAAAAGGTATGGTAATTGCAGTTACACTGTCACTAGTTTTTTGAAAACATTCCAATAAGATTTATTTAAGCAGGGTAGTATTTTTCTTTTTGACTTCTTATGTAGCTGTAAGTATAAATGGCTAGGTGAAAGTCTGTGAGGTACATTAGTTGTAAATCTGAAACATGCCTAGACACTGAGCTGAAAATTAAACGAACTTACCACAAAAGGTACTTTTGTTACAGCTGCCACTTGGTCTTGCTGTGAGAGCACGACATCTCTGAAGATTTCTGCAGAATTTGAATCTTGCTTCTGTCACTACTCTTATTTAAAAGCCATTTTTCTGCATGTTGTCTTTCTTTTGAAGGGAAGGAAAAAGCCAGGACTACCTATACCCTATATTAGCATAAAAGGGTGTCAAAATTCTGATTTCAAAGGCAGACATGATCTCTCATTTGCACTTCCGTGACTGAGTAAAAATAAAAAATAAGTGATTTGCCACAAGATAATTTGATTTGCTCAATGACAAAGCTGATGTTTTTCCTCCACTGGTGTCCCTAGCCTCTGTTTGTCAGAAACGGGGAATGAGTGACAGGGAATGAATCACTGGATGATTACCTGTTCTGTAAATTCCCTTCTGGGCACTTGGCATTGGCCACAGTTGGCAGACAGGATACTGAGATAGGTGGACCTTTGATCTGATACTGTATGGCCATTCTTATGTTATTTATTGTTTCCTGATCGTGGCTTTCAGGAGCAATCCGTGCCTTAAGTATTAGCCAACATGGAGAATAAGTTAGGACCATCAGTGTGAACAGATCCTACAATGATGTGGGGGAGGAGAAACACTCTACAATCTATCCGACTGTATATATGTTGGAAAAGCAGACAAATATAGACTACAAGAGCATTAAATAGAGCGTGGGTTAAAAGCAAAATAAAGGATAATAGACTGAAGAGGGCCATGCAAAAGTTAAGACAAATGCAACAAATATAACAGATTTGGAACACTGTGCAAATGTGGATAATTTATGAGAAAACGTGGAATTTATGTCATGAGCATCACAGAATATTTCGCAATAGAACAGAAGACAAGGTTATAAAACAAAAAAGTAATAGGCCAACAACTTTACACCTCTTGATAAGATCTGAACCTCCCATTTTCAAACTTGCAGGGCAGGAGATAAACAAATCTTAATCCAGATACTGAAGTAGGACTGAATATTTCCTCCCTGATCCATTACGATAGCAGGCATTAAATGTACACGTTCTAGGGCATTTTTGTGGCAGGCTGGTTGTTTGTTTTTAAATGATGGGTTTAGCTGCTCAGGTTTGTGATGTTAGAGATAACCCTACTATAAAAGGGCAGAATGCAAGCAAGGCTGTTTGACAATATACCACATGGATGTGATGATATTAAAATATTTTACATAATGTAAAGTGTTGTAGAAAGTGGAGGGGAGGGAATTATACAGAGGGGAAAAAAGATAGAAAAAAAATCAAACCACTTTTTGATAGTAAAACAGGTAAGGCCATGGTACAGTTTCTCATGGGAAACAGTGGACTCACCCACCAACAATTAGCATATTTAAAATATACCAAATAAAACATTAACATGCAAAGGAGAACAATCCTGAATTGGCAGGGGGATGGAATATGTGACCGTACTGGCTTTTTCTCATCTCTAGATTCAGAGACAGTATCAAATTTCAAAATGCATACAGCAGAAATCAGGAAAATAAAGTCCATTCTGAGAAATCTACTTACTGGTTATTTTAGATAGGCTTAAAATGAATTAAGTAGTCAATTGTGGAATTTGTACTGCAGAATTAATGAAATTTTTGCTATGTACAGTCTATGAGTTGTAAACCATTCCTTCCATTTTGTTCATTTATATACATAAAGAATGGCAAATTTTACCCCTCCCCCCTTTTTTTAAGTTCACACAATTACAGCTTTTAAATCAGGTGTTAATGTTTTATTACGCACTGACACAATGCTATAATGGTTTGGATTTTTTAAAGTTATCATTTGTTACTTTGACAGACTCCTTGTTTCAGAACTAAGGTTTGTCTCTTTCTCGTGATGATCAATCTCCTTAAGAAGTTCCTCCTTTTCCTGGAAATAATTCCGGAACCACTCAATATGCTCCGCTTTTTGTTTAACACTTAGATATGGGTTCTTGGAAAGCCCACAGATCACCAGTTCCATGAAGTGTCGAATAGGTCCTTGCTTGGGAAAGGCTTCAAGATATTTATCCAGAAAGATATGTTCATGAAATTCAACATCATCTTCAATACCTAGAATGTAAATTGCAAATAACACTGTTAAATCATCATAATTTGATAGTGAACACACTCAAGACAAACTAAGTATTTTATATCAGAGGGGTAGCCTTATTAGTCTGGATCTGCAAAAGCAACAAGGAGTCTTGTAGCACCTTATAGACTAACAGATCTGTTAGTCTATAAGGTGCTACAGGACTCCTTGTCGCTTAAGTATTTTATGTAAACTTTTTAATTGGTAAAATTAAGAGTTCAGTGCTGTATACAAAAAGAAAAATAAACTTCACTGAAATGAGAGAAGACTTTGGTGACATCGAAAAATGCACATTTTGACACTACCCTGCCCAAACAGGAGAAATTTGAGTGCACAAGATGTCAAGCCACCATCCACAACTCTTGGTTTTCATTTTGTGTTTTCCATTATGAGGGCAATTTTTACATTTATTTCGTATTTGTTAATGCCATTGAAGCCTTACTTTGAAATCTATTTCCTTAGCAATAAACTCTGCTCTTCCAATACAAGCAAACAGGGGTTTGTTATGGGCTACTAGCAACATTTAAAAAAAACGGAATTGAACATTTATTTGTAATAAGAAATATACTGCTTGCATACCTTTGCAAAATGGTTTAAAGAAAAACATGAAAGTAGTTCAAACTGAGCAAGGCTACCTTTGAAAGTATTGGTTACTAGAACAATTTCCATGCTTGTGTTCATTACATTTCACAGTTTTGAAACGGAGAATGTTTTTAAATACTTCTTTTAACATTTTCCAGACTTTTGCAATCATAAATATACAAATAGATCAAGATAAACATAAATGAAAGATTTTGCAAGTTGTGTCAGATGTGATCTTTAGAAGTGATGAACGCAAAAATATCACATTAAAAAGCATTTAATTTCAGAGCTATGTGGTGTAGTGGTTTGTTACAGACCTTTCGCCAAAAATACCTTAAATCAAATATCAGAGGGGTAGCTGTGTTAGTCTGAATCTGCTTAAACAATGAGAAGTCCTGTGGCACCTTATAAACTAACAGATATATTGGAGCATAAGCATCTGATGAAGTGGGACTTTGCCCACGAAAGCTTATGCTCCAATAAATCTGCTAGTCTATAGGTGCCACAGGACTTCTTCTTGTTAAATCAAATAGTGATTTCAGACTTCTTTCCAGTAGATTTCACTGGTTTCTACTTTTTAATTTGACACTAGTATTCAAAGGATACACAAAGTGTAAGATCTTGGAATCTATAAACTCAAATATGTATAGAAACATGGGGTATGGAAATATGAGATTTTGCTGTATTCCTAATCCAGAACTCAAGACAGACTGGGGTTTCTAAGTACGTGAAGAATTTTCCCCTTCTTAAGTTGATAAAAAACCCTGATGCTAATTAATGCAATTATTTGATAAGATATAAAATTAACTATCATAATAATATGTTATTATTATGATATAAGAACTTGCAAAGACTGCAGAACAGTAAGATTTGTTTTTTTGGATTGGGGTCTCAAACTCTCCCCTTCCTGCCACCTCCCCACCCTCTACCCCACACTGCACCCAAGATATTCTCCAAGAGATGCAGCCTTGGGATGGCAGCAGCAGTCCCTCCCCTTGGCACTCACCATGGCAATGGGAGCCATGAGGAAACAGAACACACTGCACGTACTCACACCACTTCCTTGTGGCTCCTGCAGTGGCTGGGAGTGTGGGGAAAAAGGGACTGCTGCTACCGCCCGGCATCAGGCCCCCCAGTAATCCCCAAGGCCACATCCCTTGGAGGATGGGGTGCAACTGGAGGGAGAGGGCAGGGCAGGAATAGAATGGGCGGGCCTTGGGGGATAGGGACGTATGTCTCCCCTGCTGCAACAACTCCCAGGCCAGATTGCCAAAATGCTCCAGCTGTAGATGGTCTGTGGGCTCTGAGTTTAAGACTCCTGTTTTAGATGAACAAGAGACAGAAACAACAAAAAAGGGAAGTACATTGGTCTTAAGTTAAAAATCTAATGGAAACATCCCAAACCCAACAATTTGGCACAATTTAGTTGAAAATTTTTATGCCAATGAACAGTACTGTACTAGCAGGGGTATTGGCAAAGCTATTGGTGAAAGCTTGCACATCACTTATCTGCTACTTCAGGGGGTAGCCGAGTTAGTCTGTACAGGATAAACTTAAAAACAACGAATAGTCTGGTAGCACTTTATAGCTAACAAAACATGTAGATGGTAGCATGAGCTTTCATGAAGAAGTGGGCTGTGCCCACGAAAATTCATACCACCATCTACATGTTTTATTAGTCTTTAAAGTGCTACCAGACTATTTGTTGTTTTTTAAGTTTATCCTGTACAGTTATTTGTCCTTAAACATAGTTGTGAATAAGCACTACAGTTTCCCATTCTAGAAATGAGCATCAAAAAGTACTAAAGCTATACCAATACACCAACCCTCTTCAAGCCAAAACATTTAGGCTACATCTACAAGTTTTTTTGGCAGAAAATATGCTAATGAGGAACTCATTAGCATAAGTCACAACATCATTAGCATATTTTCTTATATGCATATTTCCTTAAAAGGATCTTGTGCAAAACAGGGGGTTTGCGCAAAACGGAAGCGACTACACTGCTTCTTTTTGCGCAAACAGAAACGGTAGAAAATATGCTAATGATGTTGCGGCTTAGAAACAGAGTAACCTATGATAAGAAACATTAGTTTGGTGCATGCCATCTTAGCAGAACACAATATTGAAAACTGGAATTTTTATTACTAGTTGTTTTTAGGCTTGCATTTGTTCTTAAACTGTAGTAAAGACAATTTTCTCTGCATTAGCATAAAGGACTGAATATATTGTAGGTAAACACTTGCAGGTCATAAAACATAGGAAGTTTGTACCACAGAAATGAGTGCAAATTATCCTGATACTAACCAGGATATAACACGTTTGGCACAACATCAATCATTAAAATGAAAGTAAGATAATACACATTTCAGTACAAGGATTAATGGCATGTCAGTGTCTTCCAATCCTCCAAAAGAACAGCACTGTAGTGTGTAACTTTCTCTCTCAACTTGTACCACATATTCAAAGTTGCCATGGTTTCTTTCCTGTTTTTCCTTCAGATGTTGCAATGCTCGAAGGAGCTGGAAAAGAACCCCTATTTTCCCATATAGAATCATCAGTAACATGTGCAGCATTTATCAGTACCAACTACCCATCACCTTTATCTCCACTAGTCCTTGGAAAAGAAACCAGATGTTTCCCTCTTCCCAGAAGCTAATATTTTCTTCGCGAATCACATTGGTTTAAACAGCATATTTGTGCTAGGCTTAGAAACCCAAATCCACTTAGTGAATACTTGGAATCTTTCAGTTATTACTATACTGGGTTCCAATTCCCCTTCTCTCCCACAATATTTTGTGATTTCTCAAGTCAGAAGACCCTGATTTTTACTATTAGGAATTCTTGAGTCCCCTTACAATAATTCTATAATTCATTGATCATAAAAAGTCAGAGAAATGGGTTGATTGCTATGAAAAGAATCTGAACAATGCAACAGTGAAATAGGGAAGCAGTGACTGTAGTGTCTAAAAGTCCTAGTCATAGACTAGAACCCCATTGTGTTAAGTGCCATGAAAATACAGAACAAAAGGTTTTCATTGTCAGTCTTCTGTTATATACACTACGTGAGTAGCTTTCCACTATGTGAGTAGCTTTCCACAGAAGTTCAAAGGTACTTTTGGTAGGGTCATGTAATTACTCAACTAGGTGTTCCAAGGATAGAAATGAGACATGATCAGAGTTTTGGAAATGGGCAAATAATTTTTTCAGATATTAAGAATGCTGGCCAACATTTTTATACCCCTTTCTTCCCTCCCCACTTTTTAAAAAAATAATGTTTCTCTCTAGCACTAGTTTTCCTTTCTAACCCCAAAACACGAGTACTTGCACCGGAGGAAGGAGGTTGAGCCAAAACCATTTAACTGGAGAATTACTGAAACAGCTAAAACATATGACTGGTGGGCATTATGCATATATAGAAGCTACAAGATAAAATTATCAATTTGGAAAGATTTCCTTTAACCTTACCAATATTACAATGGCAAACCCTGAGGCACCAGTAATCCTTGTGCAGAAAGGATGGTTCTTTGAGATATGTCCGCCGGTGGGTGCTTCAGTCTAGGTGTCCATGCGTTTATACACTGAAGAGCAGAAATTTTTCATAGCAGTGCTCTGTTAGAGTACACATGCATTGTAGCCACTAGCCCCTGCTGCAGCTTGCATGATCGACCCCCTCCAGGTCCTTCTCAACTACAGAGCTGGACAGAGTGAACTCCGAAATTGAGGGGACAAGAGTGGGTACTGAAGAACCATCATTACTGCATAAGGTAAGTAACTTTGAGTGGTGTCTTTGTAGGTGCTCCACTCTAGGTGTCTGTAGAGCAGTTCCCTACTAGGGATGGTAGAGCTTCAGAATCACATGTGAATAGAGGATGGGAGCACGAATAGGTCAACCATAATGTTAGAAATAGAATACTTGGTGATGACAGTGTTTCGCAAGTGTGTTCTGATGTCCAGGTTGCACCAATACACCTAACCCTTTATTTATCAAATATCTCTTAGGGAACATTATTTAGGAATGCTATCAATGTTGCCATGGCCTGAATAGAATTGGCCATGTAAGGGTTCTTGGTGGTATGACTAGTAGCAAGTTCAGATTCAAAATGGATCTCTGGTTGTTAGCCCATGAGTTGAGATTGCTGAACCTTTGGAGTGCTTTGTCATGGAGATGAATAGTCTTGGTAATTTGCAAAATGGGTTGGTTCTCTCTAAGCAGAACGCTATCACCTGTCTGACATCTAACATGTGTAAAGAGTCTTCTTTTGGACCCTTATGTAGTTCGGTTCTGGTTTAATTGAAATGCCATTGCTGTTGGCGGTGGAAATAGGTGTTTCATGGTCTCTGGTATAGTGCAGCATCATTTGTTCAGCGGGGTATATATGCCTAGAGTGCGCAATATGG